GGTTAAAGGAAAAGTGTGTAGTTGGAAACATGGTCATAGTTCAGGGTGGTACTTATGCCTTTTCCCTTCCCCTAGGATAAAACTTCTCTATGCCAAGTGTCTGTCTTGTCACTTCATTATTCCAAGATAGATACATGCCCTATTCAGTTTTAAATAACTTTGATTCTTCTTAACCATCGACTTGTTTTCATTCAGATCTGATGAAGAAATTGGCCCATTGTCTCCTTTAGCTGTTAGTCTTGCGGCTGGATTCTCTGGTTCACTTGCTGCTGCTGCTTCTCATGGTTTTGATACTGCCAAATCTCGTTCGCAATGCATTGTGCTGCCTAAGGTGTGTTGCTTGACCAGGATTTCAATCATCTGAATTTTATCACCTGCATGATATTCTGCTATATGAATATCTTCCCAAATACCTTAATGCTCAAAGAAGATCTTGGGTGGTCAGTTCATGTGGCAGAGCTTATTAGTTACTAGTATGATACATATTTGTAAAGTTAAGCTCATAAAAATCTGTGGTTGTGCATATACACGCTGTGCGATGAGTTGGCGTGTCAGACAAACATTTATGGTCGCACTCAAAGGTGTGGCCTGGTAGTCAATAAAGTGGGTTAAGAACTATAAGGTCTCACATTCAAATCCCAGTGGAGACAAAAATAGTAGGTGATTTCTTCCCATCTGTCCAAGCTTTTGTTGGATAGAGTTACTCAGTATCTGTGCTGGTGGAAGGTAACAAGTACGCCATGGAATTAGTCGAGGCGAGCGCAAGCTGACCCCAACATCACGGTTATTTAAAGAAAGAGGCAAACTTCTATGCTCAATTCAACTTATTGGCCTTAGAGTTGGGTTGAAGCAAAAGGGCAGCCGGTGCACCCTTAGAGTTTTAATTTTTGAAGTACTTTTTAAAAATTAAAACTGGTCAATTCCTTGTTTTTTTTTTTAGGGGGGGGGGGGTGGGGGGGTAGTTGTACGAATGTCGTACAACAGTCTATATGAATGACGTTAACTTACCCTATTTCGCTCTATTCAAGTCTAGTAAGTTAATTTCTAAGTCATCTAGTAGTTTGGG